ATTGGAAACTTGCAATCTTTACCCAGCACTACTTCTTTCAGTACCTTTGAATTACGAAGTTGAAAAGCTATGGTATTTTGCAGAAGTCATGTTGCTTTGCTGTTCATGCTTTTGTTTCTACAGTAAATCTGCACAACTGTTGGCTTGGATATTTCTTATCACTTTATTTAGGGAACATTTTAAAAAAAGGTCTTGTGTAGTCAGGTTGATCTCAAATTCATTATGTAGCTGAGAATGACTCTGAACTCCTGATTCTCCCAACACTACTGGAATTAAAGGCATTCACAACAACATTCATCTCTTTGGGAAATTTACTGACTGAGCAGACTACCCCTGAAAGCAAAAAAAAAAAAAAAAAGTGATAACAGTAAAACTACTTTGTCATTTAGGGAAGCAAAAATACCTCATTCCAATATACTCAGTTACTAATAGACAGTACCTTAAAATGAGTCATTTGATTTCTAAGTGAACTGCTCTAAAATCTTGAAAAAAAAAAAAAAGGAAGCATCATAATCCCCCCCCCCCCACACACACACACTGATTACACTTTAGAGAAGTTTCTTTCTGGGTCTTTGAAAATTGGAAACTGCTAGCCAATCATATATATTGTGGGGGTTGGAGGGTGTAAATCTGAATATGCCAGTTCTGTTGGTTGGTTTTTGTCAGCCTGACAGACCTAGATACCTGGAAAGGGATCTTCACTGAGGAAAATGCCTCTATAATATTGGCCTGTTTGGCAAGTCTATGGGGTATTGTCTTGATTAATGATGATATGGGAGGGCCAGATCATTCTGGGTGGGACAACTTCTGGGTAGGTGATCCTGGGTTGTATAAAAGGCAGGTAGACCATTAGGAGTAAACCAGTAAGCAGTGTTCCTCCATGGCATTTGCATCAGTTTTGTCTCAAGGTTTCTGCCCTGACTTCCTTCAAAATGCCCTACAACTGTAAGCTGCAATAAACCCTTTCCTTCCCAAGTTGCTTTTAGTCATGGCCTCCATCACAGCAGCAGAAACTGAACTAAGAGATCAACTCTTTTCTATAGCATATGCTGGTGTTTGCATTTGATAGGTGCTATAATGTCAGTCAATTTTCATGTTAATAGTTTCTCTGATATATCAGGGGCCTCTGGTGGCCATACTTAGATTTGCAGTCTGTGGGCTAGACAGGTTAACTCATCCTCCCCAAACTCACAAACTCATAATTCCTGGGGTAGCTACTGTTCAAACTGAGGGTGTTTCCCAAGTATGTTGGGAATATAGGAAGCAAACACAAGCACTCAGATGTGTACAGGTACAAGGCCTTTTTTTTCACACTTTCAAGACTTTTCAATACTTTTCAAGTATTAATCATGCTGCCAGAGTGACAGTCCTGTGAATGAAACACAGGTGGCTGGAGCTTCAGAGTCAAAAGAAGATACAGGCTGCAATGGTTGGTCTCTGAGTTCGGGCTCAGGCCCATCTCTTGACCGCTACAGTCAGTTGAGCTCTGCTTGAGTGTGGAGAAACTTTTCCCTATGTACTTTGTGTCTGAGCTGAGTCTGCTGCTGCATGCACTTTCTCATTCTTAGTAAATCTTTTTCTTTCTCCTCAGCTCTTTCTGCTTTTTTTCCTTCCATAATATTCTTCTCTATCCCTGCCTTTTATTTAACCTTTTTCCTCCTCTATTTCCTGCTTTTATTTCACTTTACCTGCTGGATAAACTATTCTTAAGACCACTATTGTCAGCCAGAAGGTGGTGGCACATGTCTTTAATCCCAGGTCTCTGTTGAGTTCGAGGCCAGCCTGGTCTACAAGAGCTAGTTCTAGGACAAGCTCCAAAGCTACAGAGAAATTCTGTCTTGGGGAAAACAAAACAAAACAAAACATCGTCAAGTAAACTAAGCATTTCAGCAACAAAACTAGAAAGATTTATAATGCTTATAGAACTTCAACCTCAAAATGTATGAACTGTTTTAAATTTGAACATGTTACTTCCCGTGTTTCCGTCTAAGCTGCTCTTTGTTCCTTTATCACCAATCCTATTTCATCGGCATCACACTTGTACTTAAGAAATCCTACTTCTTTTTAAAAACTACCAGAGCCCTGAGAAATATGAAGATGCATCTCAAGTTTTCACACTGCTTGTTTTTTTTCTTTACATAAAAGTAAACTCCTTCCAGATATTAGTTATCACATGTGAGCAGCCACCAGAGCAACAGGAAACCTAGCTAAACAATGAGATAGGGCTGTATTTCCCATATAGCTGCTCGTAACTCCAGAACTGATGTACTACTCTGTTGATCACCACAACAACTATATATCATTTTGTTAGATTAAACAGAAGCATCCTGTTGTTCAGTACTTCTTTATAAGGAAACTTTTCATACGTAAAAGATCTACATCTTGGGTCAGTAAAATGCTCAATGGGTAAATGTGTTTGACAAGTTTGACAGTCTGGTTCAATCCCAGAACCCATGTGGTAGAAGGAGAGAATGCCAGCAACTTGTCCTCTGACCTTCACATGTGTGTGCACACACACGCATACAGATACAAATAAAATAAATATAGATGTAATTTTAAAAATCTGCATCTCCCAAATCACTAACTATTGGGTATTCGGGAAGTCATCATGAAAACTTCGCTCTCATATTCTTCTTTCAACAGACCATAGATAAAAAAAAAAACTTGTTCAAAATAATATTATCAAGTCTCTGAGAGATTCATTATACTTTTATTTTACCAGAGTATACTGGGGAATGTCAGAAACCTGGTTATAAAGCGTCATTCAGCCCTACAGCAGCACCACTCAAAGGAGAGAGCTCTCATCTCCTCACCCCCAGAAGAGGGCTGTGGTCTGGAGGTTTCTCAGCTATTCACAGGGACTATAAGTGGCTACTAAGGGTCCTGGCTCAGAAGAACTCATCACTGGCACAGCCTTCCCCCTTTTACTTATGCTCACTCAGCACAGTCCTTATGCCTATGCAGTAAAAAGTCTTCTCCTGACAAGAAAGCCCTCTCCTTTCCTGGTTGTCAAAAAAAAAAAAAACAAAACAAAACAAAAAACAAACAAAGGAAAAAACACAGGAAAAACATGAAAAAGGAGGGAGGAAGGTTTTCGCCACAAAGTTCACATTTGAGATCAGCTTTAAAAGAAAATCTTAACAATTTTGAAGTTGTTATAAGTTGCTATAAGTTGACTTCCACAACAGAAATAGGATAAAAACAAAACGCAGACAACATCTATAGAGGGATTTAAAGAAAAAGAATCCAGAAGCATGCTAATAAGTGAAAACAATTCCTGAAAATTTAATCGGTTATGAAAAGCCAAGAACACAGCATCAATATATATATATACACACCCATACTAAGTAGTCTTCTCTCAAGACTTGAGGGAAATTATTTCCAAGACAAGAACCTTATCCACCCTCAATACCCAAACCTGAAAATGTCCAAGTTCCTATACTTTAAATCATACCAGAGTTATAATGCCCAGTAGTACTATGTAAGCGGTATTTAATTTTGAAATTCTTTTTGCAAAAACAATGGCAAAGGCTGAAGAGATGGCCAGTGGTTATAAGACTTTACTCTGCCATGGAACCCGATACAGTTCTCAGCGCCCACATCAGGTGGCTCCAACTCCAGGAGACCTGACCTCCCCAAACACCTGCACGGACATGCACATCCCAGGACAGCACCACAAACAATACTCAACAAAAATAAAATCTTAAAACACTAATGCAAAAAAATCTGTACACATTCATTACAGATGCAGGATTAATTACACTCTGGTCTATAAATAGAAAACTCTATATATACGGAGCCCACAATACAAAGGTGGACTCTACACACAAAGGTAAGAAACAAAGGAAGTGAAGTAACATGACTTTCTTTCCTATGTGGAAATAAAAGCTTCTTAGTAAAACAAAATGGGTTTATTTTAACACTGAACATGAAATATACATAATGTCAACTGTTTTCATGAAGGGTAAGATTTTCTTTTTTCCTTATATTTATCCAGTACAGTTCCAATGATCCAGTTTTCAGGCCATGACACTTCAACCTTGCATGATAAATATATGCAGAAGCCTGACCAGTCAGGCTGCACATCCTAGAGCTTTCATTTCAGACACTTCTGCAGAGAGTGCTCTTTAATAGTGTTTTCCGCTTACACTATAGTGTAGCTGCTTCCCACTTCAAAACTACAACTAGAGTGATCATCTCTCACTGGCTTTCTAAGTGTTATGACCAGTATGGGAGGGGAGCGGGACAAAGAACATTGTGTTATGGGTTTATTTAAGAGAATCAGATCTTTGTTAACTGCCAAGAAAAAAAAAATCATGGCTATTCAGACATAGCACATACAGCAAGAGTATGGGTCTAGGAAATCATTTCTATTAAATGTCCTCAGAAGGCAGGACTGAAACCGTCTCAGTGTTAAGCATGCCAGATTAAAGATCATAGCTGTATATGGATGGCACTTATAACTTTACATACATCTTCCAGGGAAACTATACATGCTTGTGGGGTACATTAAAGCTTATAGAATGGTTCACCTAGATCTTCAAAGGTGAAGCGAAGCAACCATGTTCTCACAGTAATCTACTATCCAATTATCCAACTGAGCACAAACAAGCCATATTTTTAGTCTAAAAATGACAGATATGCAAATCTTGCCAGAGTTGGCCCTCAAAGTCAATTGTCTTCTGTATTTAAGGAGGTCAGGAGTCAAGCAATCCAGATTGCAAACTAGCATTTTTAATATTTTATAAAGAAAAACAAATAAATGAGAAAGTAAACAATAGGCCACAAGGGCTCAAATCCAATTAGATCTGAATACCCTGATATAAAAATGAACATAAAAAATAAATGGAAATGGAAAATAAGGATTTAAATTAATTTCAATATTACAAAAGATTGTAAATTCTCTTTGTCAAATACCTTAGCTGACCTGCTTTTTAAAAAACAAAAACAAAATAAAGATATGAAGATCCTAATTTAAACACACAAACACACCTCCTTACCTTTATTTGTCTTTTGTTGGCTTCTCTTCTGGCTTCTCTTTCTTTTAACCGTCTTTCCTACAGGAAGAGAAATTAAATTAGAGGCATAACTCCTAGATATTAAGTGTTAAGCAGCACACACAGTCTTCAATTTTACTTGGTAAAGCAAACTGAAGGCAATACTTCACATTTCTTTTTCAATAAATATTTACAGAATACCTACAATGGAACTGGTAGAATAATTCTTAATTAGTAAACAGGAATCATACATCAGGAATCATGCATCAATTCCATCATTACACACAACATAATTTTTAGTTATTTACAATTTCATGCTTGGAGTAAAAGGGAGAAAAATGAAGCATGTACTGAATAATATACATTATTATTATAATAATGTATAATAATATACATTGCCTAATATAATTACATACAGGTTGTAAGTACAATGTCTAATAGATGACTTGTGTACAACTAATGCTACCTACTAGAACAAAAGGAAAGAAAAATAGACTCATGATTGTTGTACTTGTCCTCAGGGACATAGTCTGATAATGGATAATGGAATTCCATATATACCTTGACAAGGCTTATAGAATTCTTTATGATAAAGGGTGGAGGAAGACTATGTTCTAAATTGATAATAAATACTAATTAGAACCAAAGGGGAGTTCATGGAGCATTTAGATGCAGTTTAAATAGTTTCTAATTGACAACACAGCTGTCACTGACCTGCTTCCTAGTGGGAATACAAGGAATATCAATGTTTCTAGGGGTTTGCAGAGGGAGAAAAGAGAAACAGATACAGTTTCTAAACACCTTATACCAAAACAACAGATAAAATCTACTAGAAAACAAAAACTGAGGAAACTAGTTTCTAAGGGAAACTATAAAACCTCAAAACCACACAGTTACTAGGCATGGTCAGATCGCTCATGCCGGCCACCGTGCCACCGCTCCTGTGATTACTCTTTTGCTTCTCTGACCTACACACACAACTATAATTAGCAAGATCACTACAATTATAAAAGAACATTCTAGATTATTTGGAACCTCTAGAAATCAAAGTCAAAGGAACAAAGCGGAGAGATGAAGAAATAAAAACTCAGAAAGATTTTGATTTGCATATTATCACAAGTTCACAGTTATAAACAGATTGATTTCAACAATGGTTTTTGTTTGCCAAGTCTAAAGAGTTTTCCTACATGTCCTAATAAAAACAAAAATAAAAATATTTGAAGAATTTAAAGATATGATTTTAATAACAAAAGAAAACACAATTTTTGAAGACACCCAACCGAAGCACTAGCTCATATCAAATTCTACCCTTAAACAGCAAACGGTGACTGGTGTCTGTGAGCTCAGCAGAGATGACTCAGCAGCAGACACAGTCTAGTCCAGCCTTCCTATACACAGCCATCTCAGAAAAGCACACCCAGCCCCCCCTCCACACACACACACAAGCACACAGCTGTCACTGACCTGCTTCCTAGTGGGAATACAAGGAACATCAATGTTTCTAGGGGTTTGCAGAGGGAGAAAAGGGAAACAGATACAGTTTCTAAACATCTTATACCAAAACTTTTATACAGCTAGTACCAGTTACTAATTCTTTGACCAGCAGGGGACTAAAAGACAACAGAGTGAAGCAAAGTAATATTAAAGAAAAAATTTAAAATTTCCTGATATTTCTAGTTTTGTGAGCTGTCTTAGCTTGTAGCTTGTATGATCTGTAATTTTGTCTTTTTTTTCCCTCCCTAAATAACAGGACAATTTAATATTATTAGCTACCCAAAAAGTATTCCTAACCTAAAGAACATTAAAATAACAATATACTTTATAATATTCAGTAACAATCAAAATAGTTTAAGTTTCTCTGCTTAACTTAATATTAACCCTATAGCTATATTAGACATTCAATAACTACAGAGTGAACAAAAACTATTATATTTTCACAAAAATGTCTGTCTATTTGCATGTTACTATTACCGTTATTTTCTTGACAAAAGTAGTAACTCTAAATTATCCGAATGTGCTAGGTAATATACAAATTTGTATATGTCACTTTTAAATGGTGCATCAGGACTTGTGAGCTAAATTCCCTCCCAATTTTATAGGTGAGAAGATGGGCAATCAATATAATTAGGTTACTTGATTTAAGGCATAAACATAGTGCCTCAGCCTCTCCTGCATCTGTGAAAACCTGTGTCAATTCTGGCACATCACTGTTCCACACTCCTACAGTATTTACCTTGTAGGGCCATATACCATGTCTTTTCTTACCGTTATGTACAAATGGTACTGTTTCATTAATAATCAAGTTTTTCATTTCAATGTTATTTTCTCCTGACAATATTTTATGTACTTAATTTTTGTCAGGCCCTTTATTCAAAAGAAACAAATAATTTACAATTACGATCACACAAATTTTTATCGTAATTATCAATAATCTGCCTTTCCCTATCTGAAAAATGGACCAGGTGGTAGTGGCATACACCTTTAATCTCAGCACTTGGGAGGCAGAGGCAGGAAGATCTCTGAGTTCGAGGCCAGTCTGGTATACAGAGAGCAAGTTCCAGGACAGTCAGGACTACACAGAGAAACCCAGTCTCAAAAAAAAAAAAAAAAAGGACCTGAAAATGAACTTCAAAATTGCATTGATGTGTTTGCATGAGAAAAACCCTGATCATTGGGCCTTTGATCAAGCTATATTATCTATAACAGAAAAATATGTACTGTCAGCAAATCTCAAAAAATTATTCCATTACTTTTTCTAGATGTTATTCTATTTTATTAATATTTGGTTTGCTTTTAATTATGTGTACATGAACGTGTTGGGTTGGAGGGTAGGTGCACACGTTAGTCAAGGAGCCTAGAGAAAGAACCTAGAAGAGGAGATCTAATCCCTGCACCTAGAATCTAAGATGACAGTGTATCACCTGGTATGAGCCACTGAAGAAAAAACTCAAGTCCTTACAAGAGCAGTATGTGTTCTTAGCTGCTAACCCATCTCACCAACCTCTAAATGGCATTTTAAAGGTCAGGGTGGGGAACACAAAAGTATTTACTAGATAAGCTTGGTGGTCTGAGTTCAATTCCCAGAATACATAAAAGGATGGAAGGACAGAACCTACTCCACAAAGCTGTCCTCTGATCTCAACAAATAGGTCATGGGTGCGTGCTCCCCACCCCATAATGCACTTGTGTGAGCACATACAGGCACAGATAACATAATTGGAAAAAGTTTAGGCTGGTGAGCTATTAAAATTCAATGCACATGCAAACCCAGTATTTCCTTTGACATTTCCCTCTACTAACATCAGAGAGAAAAGAGAGATCCACATAATGGAAGTGAAGTCATAACACCAAGACATAAAAGCGCGTGCAGGGGGTATTGGGAAACACATTAAAAAACAATTATCCTTCAATATTTGGGCAAAACAAAGGAAAAACAATTTAAAATAACTTATTAGAAAACTTTGTATCACTCACATTCTGCTATTCTCCTACCTGGAGATCCTCTATTATAAAAAGCTATTAGCATTCTAGCAAAAGGAAATGGCCTTCAAACTGAAAAGCAGGACAGGAATTAGAATCACAGTAATCCAGGACTTGGAAATGGGCACAAGAAGCGCCTGTTCCCTTTCCTGAAACAGGAAAGAACCGTAACTTAAGAGTTGGCGGTGACACCAAAGACAAACGGCTAGACTAGGTACAAGTGATAATGAACTGTGTTATATTCAATAACTGAGGTCTCCCTTAATTTAATGTAGTTTATATAGTTTAATAAATTCCCTTTCTAATATCATTTTTGAGAACATACTGATACCAAAAAAAAACCATTTTATACCATGCAAAAAGAATTTTATCTTTAGTTCTGTCGTGCTACAAGTGATTAAGTAAAAGGAAGGCATGAAATTCAATAATAAAAGTAAAATTCACAAGGAGAAGAAAACAGAAAATTCAAGGTACAAAATACTCACTTTATAACTACTATCCCTCTTTGACATCTCAGAAACTTTGGGCCGTTACCTTGCATAAAAAGCAGGTACCATGAAATATTAATCCAGTCAGCAGTCAGAGCAAAGCATTCATGTTTTTCGCTCTCTGGTCATATACAGGGATTTTGAGATTTAGAAATGAATCTCGTTTTTCAGCACATGAAGGGAGCACAAACCATTTGAATGGATATCAGTCAACCCTGGCAGTTTGGTGCAGAACAGAGATCCCAGCTATCGCATGGAACCAGAAGGAGTATCTACCGCCACCTCACTATTACAGTCATCTCTTTTTCGAGGGTATGAGGGGGAACCCAGCTCAGTGAAAGTATATTCAACACATGAGCACACTTTATGAACAGAACACCAATAACTCAGGCACTAAGATCAACAATAAATGGGACTTCAAGAAACTGAAAAGGTTCTATAAGGCAAAGGACACTGTCAATAGGACCAAACAGCTACCTAAAGAATGGAGAAAAGATTTTTACCAACTCCTCCCAATAGAGGGCTAATATCCAAAATATATAAAGAACTCAAGAAACTAGACATTAAAAAACCAAATAATCCAATTAAAAAAAAACTGGGACACAGATCTAAACAGGATTTTCAATAGAGGAATCTCAAATGGCTGAGAAACACTTAAGAAAATGTTCAGCCTCCTTAGCCATCAGGGAAATGCAAATCAAAACTACTTTGAGATCATTTTTGTTTTGCTTTATTTTTCAAGACTGGGTTTTACTATAGCTTTGGAGCCTGTCCTGGAACTAGCTCTCCTAGGTGAGGTTGGCCTTGAACTCACAGAAATCCGCCTACCTCTGCCTCCCCAGTGCTGGGATTAAAGGCATGTGCCACCATGGCCCACCTGCAGGCAGATCTCCGTGAGTGCAGGCCAGCCTGGTCTAAAAAACGCGGTCTAGAACAGCTAGGGCTGTTACAGAGAAACCTTGTCTCAAAAAAAAAAAAAAAAAAAAAAAGGAAAAGGGGGGGGAGGGGGGGGGAGGGGAGAGGAGAAGAGGGAAAGGAAGGGAATGGGATGGGGTATATTTACACAAGGGAGTGTTTCTAAGAGGTTTAAAA